TGGTCATGGTGGCTAGACATGAAACATTTCCTTTGCGGTTTAGGAAACCAGTCTAAAACGAACTTCCAAAGGTAAAATCTTTTTGGACGTACACATTTGAAATGCTACGAGCTGTACACCGAGTAGAGTGTTTATGGTGGCAGTTCGTGGCATGTGACTAGACATAGGTTTACTACTACAGGATCCAACAAAAATAAACTGGAGACCATCAAGATGCCGGGTAAATAGTGACTACTAGGCAGTATTCAAAACACCAAGCTCATTTTCAAGGTAAAGGTGGGACCTGCAGTTTTGTCGCAATAGGTGAGTAAATTAAAGAAAGCAAGTAGATTAGGGTCAGAGTTGTGGCACTGACAAGTAACACCCCATCACATGCATCACCCATAGAACCCTGATTTATGGTCGAGTTGCCCAGGTCAGTCAAGCCTCCCATCCCTCGAGGCATAATGGTAAACCCTTTGACAACAGTATGGCCCGCTGGCGGGCCATGACAACTGATTTCTTGTATTTCCTCCCTTTTGGAAATTTTAGTTACTAAATATGTTCACAACACCCTAACAAGGCTATGTACACAGTGGTCCACGAATTGCTTTCTTCTAGGGAGAAATCCAGAAACAATAGGCCTAAAAACACTTCTAATGGTAATGTTAGCAAAAATATCATCATTACCCACAGAATAAGAACACAGCACATGTGGTGGCTTTTGAAAACCGGAGCAGTAATCTTAGCAATTGTTGCCACACTAGTAATATTCCTTGCATGGTTCAGTCGATAGGACCCAGTCGTTGCGGGCTTCACCAACTTGTTTGGTTTGTGAAAAATATTGTCATTTAGGTGTAATACAAATTAGATGTAATACAAATAGCATGTAAGTAAAAGTGAGAGTTCTGGTTGGTGCAGCAAACGGCTGCCCTGTCAAAGCTAGCTATACTAAGGTTCCAATTGAAGCCACTAAATTGGAATTCAGTGTGAAATTTTCATTGGTTTTTTTTCAGTACTTTGCTGATAATCCATCTGCGTTACAACGTATGGTTGATTAGTACGACGACTTACCTAAGAAAGTTTGCAATTTAATCAATGTTGCTATAATTAAGCAAAAATGCGGTCTCCTGGGACCGTATGGCCCGCCGGCGGGCCACATGCGTGTCTGGCGTGCGGTCCCACACGCTAGACACGTTTAGAGCGCGCGGTCGTCAAAGGGTTAATATGTATTTCGTAGCAAATTTTAGAGCTGTGAATTGTTTATCTACCGGTTTCCGTGATGTGTTGAGCCAACGCTCAGTTCTGTGCCAGAATGTTTTCTAATGAGGGGGGGGGGGGGCGTGTGGGAGGGTTGCGAGGCGAAAGAGATAAGGAGGTAGATAAATATCACACTTTGTTTCACTGATCCCTGATCCCTTTCCCTACCGACTTTTAGAAAAAGGGACATCACTCAGGTCACAACCTAATACATGGCAAAAAAGCATCCGCACTCCGCACGCGACCGTGAAAGCAGGTGAAAGCAGGTGGTAGAGCACGCTTCTGGTGATCCATTGTAGCGAGGGGCTCCGCTACACTCTCTCCCTCTCCTCTACGACGTGTGTATCGCTGGATACACACACATAAGCTACTTGTTTCTCAGGAGTATTCGCGCTCCTTACCGGCACATAAAAGAGAACAGATATCATTTGGGCATTATTCCGACGACCCACACGTCCTCTTCTGGGGACTAAAAATGGATCGGATTGAGTGCTGACCTTTAATTACGAGAGATGTTCTACAGGCATAACGCCGTGTCTACGTAGCTACCGTCCACGTAAGCGCGGCGAACGTACGATAGCGAAGTACTGTCATCACTGAAAGAAGCTTGACGGAGGACAAATGTTTCGATGTATCTAATTTGGTTCAGGGTTATTTCTTTCTTTATTAGAAGGGAAATATTTTTTCCAAAGATTTTATTGTAGAAGTAAAGGTTGCTCGGCCAACTACATAGTAAATATTCCCAATCAGGACCAACCGTCCGTTCGTACTATTCGAACGAGCGGTTCGCCTATGTGGAAGTTGCACGGGTCGTGGTTATGGAAAAGGTGTATGTTCATGGAATTTTTGAAGGCTTTGTGGAAAATTTTCACGATAGGATACCAAGAATTTACGTCGTCAAATGTTTCCCTTGTAATAAAGAAACCCCCTTGAAGTAACCCTGAACCAAATTAGATACATGAACATTTTCTCCGTCTAAGCTTCCTATCGTTCCTTCACCACGCTTACGTGGACGATAGCTACGTAGACGGGACGTTTATGCCTATAATTTACTATAGTTCCTATCGAGAAGGAAAGCTTAAGTGGTATTAGTTGGCGGGGAGGGGGAGGGGGTGTAAATTTCACCGAAAAAAGGCAAAGCGCGCAGTTGACCGTGCCCATAACTTAACGCACGAACTTGACTGGCATCACTTTGACCGTAATACATGTAAACACTTTTCGTATTTTATCTCTTCATCTATCCGTGTGATTTCTCGGTCAACGCAAAATAACTTTTAATGGCTCGGATCTCAGTGCATAGTACTACACAGTTAACTGAATCGTGTACAGAATTTTAATTCAAATTTGAAACGGCCCATCCGTTTCGGTGATTGGCGTGTAAGTTCAAGCGATGTGCAAGAGCCTGCTCAGTCGGGGCACGGCACTTATTCACCAATTCGTGCTCAGTGAAATCACAGCATGCGTTGCGCACTACACAAACCCTGAAGAATCGCATATCTCGCTTGAGTATCCCGACGAAATGATGGTCAGAAAATCAAAACCAAATTTACGTGCTGAAGAATTAGGAAAAAGGATATTATATTATATTAAGAATTATTAGTATATCGAATTAGGAAAAGAAGGGAAAAAAGAACAGGAATAAAAACAAAAAGAAAAAAAGAAAAATTTTTTATTAGTATAAGCTTATCTCGGCTTAATCAAATACAAGGGTGCAATTCGCTCTGTTCCCGGATAGCGGACTTCACTTTCATTGTCACTCTCTTTTACGGTAGCTTATTTGTAGAAGCCAAGCAGAATTTAAGGTGAGCCATTGCTTACCTTTGTAGAATAAAAGAAGTTTTTGTTTGGGATTTTCAAATTTGGTTGAAGATCGATGAGTTGCAGGAAGCCTTCGGTGATCTGGCTCGAGCTTGCAATGTTCGAGTGATTAGTTGGCGGAAGTTGGGCACGAATCGCGAAACTCTCGGAGAAGAGGCGAAAAAGACCGAGCCTTTAATGCGACAGGTACGTATCGATCGAAGAATTGTTTGATTATTACCTGGATGACTAAAAAGTCATCTTGACGATAAGGAATCCATTTCCTTATCCAAGGACAGCCGAGTAGGAGGAGGGGAAAATCTTCAAAGCTTTACCGGAAGGGTTGGTGGATTTTTGATGTGATGAAATCGTTTCAAATTTTGAAATAGCGTATTCGTTAGAATGAAAGCGCAGACATGTTCGATGACGATTTATGGATGGTATACTTGTGCCTAATTGGGTTATGGTACCTGTAGAAGGGGGCTACTTAAAAAGGCTAGTTGTAGTTTGGCTTTCCTGTATTCAACAATCCTCCTTCTCTGTCGCGCTTCCATGTCACTGTGTTCGCAGCTTTTTCCACACAACTGGTCCGATATTCATTAGTTTTTAAAGCATCCAATGAGTAAATGTGCACGGTATCGCTGTTCATTCTGTTCATCTGTGCCAAGTTGAACTGGATTTCTAGTAGATTCCAGTGAGTATTACCACCGAGTTTGACATCAGTTGAACCTCTGGCCCCTTGACCATTCTGCTTATGCTTTTTACCGTATCAGAGTATGAATGTTTGCGTCCAACAGTGAGACGCATGATTAGCACAAGCGACCGGTCGCGAAGTCTGACACCTGGGAACTAGATGAATAAACGAGAAAGCGAAAGAACGAGCGAGGTCGCTTGTCTACAACGTTGGGGTGTCGAAGTCTAAGGCCGATGTTAGGCCGAGCGATTTGCTAGCGTGCCGCGATCGCGTCGTCCGCGATCGCGTCGCGCCACCGCAGACGCTAGCGAATCGTCAGCAGCGAGTCGCTCGATTCGCAGTGTGATATCGGCCTAAACAGGCGTCCGGAGACTAAAATAGTCAGCACATGGCACCTCTGCCGCTCGCATTTGAGTCGTGGAATGGCATCATCTCTGAGTTTCTTCCATGCTGTCTATTCCATTCAGGAAAGAGCTGTTTCAGCCACCCCGTTGCGCGATTATTCCAACTGATGACACTGCTCGATCCAATGGCAGTACATAGGTTGGGCTAGCCAATTCTGCTGTATTTTACTGTGTCAGGAAGGGGAGTACGCGAGTGAAAGTTAGGTGGGTGTGGAGCACAAATCCTGCTCATTTGATCCGCGCGCAATGTGAAGGTTATTAGCAGTTTTTCGCTTCCATTTATTTGTGGATCCATCATCACAACTAGGCTCCTGTTGGACGCTACAACCCGCACCCAGTGGGTTGCGGGGTGTACTTCTGAGGCATGTGAGATGTCTTCAGAGAGCTCCTCGAACGAATTTTGTACTAATTCACCCGCAACGATAACTTGTAGCATCTGCATAAGAATAAGTGACCATTGTAATTAACTTCAAAGGCAAATGTCGTTTGTCATGGATGAAAAGCTACATTGAGTTCTCCTGAAAAATTAAACTTACGAAAAATCGAAATAGTTGTCATCCGAATTTTCGTCATTGGAGAATGCATTTCAGGTGTTTGTCACTGCCGGATATGTAGCCGAAGATCCGGAACGGTTCGATCGTAACGTTTACTTACTACGGAAGCTAACCGTCAATAATATGGCTAAACAAATGCTCGACTGTTATATATGTTCACTGAGTACTACTACTATTGTATACAAGGTTCGTGACATACTATTTTGGAATATGTGTTCATTTATGGTTTATTTTGATACCGTATTTTTCTGTTGTTCTTGCTCAGGGTTTTTTTTTGAAATATTTCTTTCTCAATTTCAAAAGAATGTTTTCGACATGGACAGCACGCTCTAAAAGGTTATATGTTGTGGGTGGCGGGACTGGGAAAAACATCGTGCTTTGGCAAATAAAAAATGAGAATGTCAAAAAGAACGTAGAACAGTTTGGTTGTCTCATGTGAGTCAAGTGCTGCAGTCAAAATGACGAGGAACGAAGCGCTACGAAATTATCCACTAACTCTATATGTAAATTAGGTAATGGAAGAATTAGGATCGCTTTTTTCAACTTGGAAATTTTCGGAACCGATCACTACGGCAAATCAGCACCTTTTCATTGATTATTATTGCTTAATGCATTGCTTGATATTTTCAGTGGATTCACAATTTCACTCTCACCTTAGTTTTATTTTTGTTTAAGAAAGTGCAGGGGGCTTGTGCGTGAATTTGCGTCCAATTTGTGCC